CAAGGGCGTGTGCAGCAGTAAACGTGCGTGCACGGGACGGAAAGGAAGGGAATGAGAGCTCCGACTAGGGCGCGACGAGGGCAAAATCGAGAGCGTCTGATTTCACCAGAGAACTGGCCGAACCCCTATCTTTTCAAAACATAGAAAAAACAAGGGAACGGGCATGTAAATGAGACCCCGAACTCTGGTGGTCAGGGATGAAAAGCTGGAGGGATCCCTCTCGTCGGCGCACAGTCAGTTCCCTGCGCGGGGGCGGAGAAAGCGCGCGGTTGAGGTGTGGACGGACGGTGGAACAAGGGAGAGCCACAGTGGGCTCGAACACAGCTCAGGATAATACTTCAACGTTTCATGGCTCCAGAGGCCCACTTTCAAGTCTCACCGATCAGCCGTTTGAACTTGTTTTCGTCTGCCAAGCTAAACTTAAGCTTAAATATATCCATTTTGATAGATTATTTGTTTGAAACATGGGTAAACGTAAAAAAAAAGTTTACAGGACCCCAAAGTGGCTTCCTAAGACAATTTCATTGCTCGGGAGCCTTACTTTCAAGTCCCACCGATCAACCGTTTAGACTTGTTTTCGTCTGCCAAGCTAAACTTATGCTAACATATATCCACACTGATAGATTATATGTTTGAAACACTTAAAACGTCAAAAAAAAAAAACTTTTACGGGGCCTCAAAGTAGCCTCCCGAGGCGATTCTTTGCTGTTCTTGAGCACAAGTTTCAATTGGTCCTGATCAACCCCCATCAACTCGGATTATTCTGCCTGGGCAGATTTAGGCTCTAATGCATTCGATTTGCTAGAATATGACAATGGAACATGATAAAAGTCATCGTCAATGGCATATGATAGCTAATTGTAGTAAGTGAAAGAAACGCGAAAACGTCATTTTTCATGAGAAATAACTTGAGGCGATTGTGTGTGATTGATCTGCCACTCAGACTAAAAGGTAGTCTAGAGTCATGGCAATAACTTCCGAGTAAAATTACGAGGTTCTCCGAGGTGCAAAGGATATTATTTGGGTCCTACTTTTGCGATTTTATTGAAAAACTGACTATGTCTAAGGGTTAATCTAGAGCATTAGATATGATGAAAAAGAACAGTTTCAGCATGAAACATCTTAAACTTATCTTATATTTTGTGAATCAAGTGCCCAAACACTTTCAGGTACGGTGAAACGACGAAAACAAGCCCTTAAACACAGCACTGCCGCTCAGTAACTGGAATCGCACTCAAAAGTGCTCCGCGCGCCGCACTTCCCAGGTTTGTCACATCTTTATTAGAGCTTTAATCGAAGTGAAATTTTACAGGAGTCTTCTCTACAGTATGTACTATCGATCTACCTCTTAAATTCTAACTTTTTCCAAACTTCACTTTTTCGATTTATTGCCGCTTAAACCGGGCTATTGGGACCATAGTGCGCCGCGCGTCGCGTCGGATTTCCCTGGACCAACCGGCCGGCGCCGAACGGTCAAAGCGGACACCGAGTGGACGCAGCGCGACGATCCGCGCCGTGCGTAGCTCGAACGCCCTCTCCGCATGTTTGTGGGTGAACGGTTAGAAATACGCCAGACGAATTTTTGCCCTGGGCATCGTAATTCGGCATAATTTATTTGGTTTGACTATCCACACTCACTTTTACGACATTACTGTAGATGGGCCATTCTGGAGAGTGCTTCCGACTATTTTTCGGGTGAAAACCGGTCAATTGTGCCTTGTTCGTGCACGATCCGTCAAGACGGACGAAATTTTCGCCTTTCAGGCCAACAAATTGAAAAAATCGGTTAGGAAACATGTGTTTGAACCTTTCAAATAATATGTTAAAAATTTACGCCTTTTAGGCCTATAAGCGGTACCAGGGGGTCAATTTTATGCGGTGAAATTTGTGGTACTTCATATGGGGCCCATTTGACAACGTTTTTTCGATGATGCACCTTTTCCCTCTCAAAGTCGAAAATTTTGATCCACCCTAACCACCAATTTCTGTATTATTATCAAACCGACTTGCCAATTTTGAAAAAGTAAATAAAAATCCAGAGACAAAATTTGTAACTGATCATTAATCACAGTGATTGCTGATTGTGGAGGTTTTTCTATGCGTAGCAGGGGTTATCTGCTAGTTTCTCATGTAAAGATGGACGATAAGTAATAGAGAGACAGAAAGAAAAAAAACCAATGGTAATGCTTCCCATAGAGTACATAAATTCGTAATGTAAATGGGAGAGCTGGCGCCATGTTCTGCTCAACGAGTTCCGAGTCCAGTGTGCGCCTAGTTCAGGTCACTTTTTCGATACATGTTCGATCCAAAATGGCGGTGTGGAATACGGGTGTTTACTTTTTGCAGGCAAAGACCCCCTGGGAAGTGCAGGCTCTCAAGAAGATGGCCGCGACGAGAACTCCGAGCAGTTCGAGCAGTTCCAGCACTCTCTGAGCAATACCTGCTCTAACCCATCCTATCGTCCGTCGCCTCCCCACCCTAACCATCTAATTATGTTTCCAATGTAAAATGTCATCTTAGGCCTTGTCTCGACGGCGCAACTGTTGAGGGAATTAGGTGCAACTGGTGCGAGTTTGTTGCACCAATCTAAGTTCCCTGTCTCGACTCACACGCATGTGTACCTGAAATTTTTAGGCGGGAATATTTGAACAACATTGATTTTTTTAGGTTAAACGATGTCAACTGAGATAACTGAAACTGAACTGATAATTATTAACGGGAGGTGAATATTTTGCGTTATTTCGACCAGGTATAAAACAAAAAAAAACAACAACATAACACAGATATCGATAATAAGAAAATATATTCGATAAAATTTTATTTTCCTGCTGTAGTGATATGATGCTACAAACGAGCATATAAAATTGATACTGAAATGTATACAAATATTTCTAAAATATAACCACTCAGAAACAAAACACCCTTAGTAAACTCTCGAAAAAGTGACCCTGCGTCACACGGGAGTCTCGGAATTCGGGACCTGGAAAATGCTTAAAAGTGGCGCAAGCTCTTTAACTTACAGTACGACTCTATGTTCTCTAAGATGCTTCCAGGCACATCAAAACCGATGATATTCTTGCCCAAAGGGCCGTAACTCACTATTTTCCATCAGAAATGATAATTTAGAATCGGCTCTACAGGCCCTGAGAGCTTTAAACTTTTTTCTACATTTTTTCCCCTTTGGCGATCATTTTTTGGACTACATAGAAACTTTATAGGAATTGACCAAGAATATCGTAAAACAGTAATACACAAAATTAAGAGGCATCCTAACCACCATACCACCATTGAGTTTGGTTCTGATGCTTCAATCTCCCACCAAAAGGTAGTGCTGGCATTGCGCACACTACGGAAGATTCATTATTTACTTACAATACAGGGTGTTCGAAAAGTCCCCTTCCCCCCTTGAACTTTTGACTTAATTGAGGTAGAGATTTGAAACTTGGAGAGTGTTCCTAAATCAAAGGGAGCTACTTTTGGATCCCCCCCAAAACTTTTTTTTTTTTTCAAATGGGAAGACCCCCAGGCCCCCTGTGTGATACTTCGTTCGAAAGAGCATAAAAAAAAATTTTTCGCGCAAACCCGAAGTCATTATCTCAAACCGTTTCAAAATGGCGGCCGGTCAAAGTTCAAAATGGCCGAAAATTGGCACCTCTGCTATTTGCAAATGGATTTGCTTGAAACTCGGTATCTGGAGGTATTTTGGCACGAGAAAAACGAATTTGACGTTAGATTTTTAAAGAAACCCTAATTTATCAAAATGGCCACCGGTTTAAGCTCAAAGAGACCGAAAATTTGACAAACTCGATTTTTTGCCTATGGATTCACCTGAAATTCGGTATCTGAGAGGTATTTTGACCCGAGAAGAACGAATTCGACGTTAGATTTTTAAACAAACCCTAATTTTTCAAAATGGCCGCCGATTAAAGTTCAAAATGGTCAACAATTGGCAACCTCGACTTTTTGCCGATGGATTCGCCTGAAACTCGGTGTTTGGGGGTAGGCAAAAAGTCGAGGTTGCCAATTGTTGACCATTTTGAACTTTAATCGGCGGCCATTTTGAAAAATTAGGGTTTGTTTAAAAATCTAACGTCGAATTCGTTCTTCTCGGGTCAAAATACCTCTCAGATACCGAATTTCAGGTGAATCCATTGGCAAAAAATCGAGTTTGTCAAATTTTCGGCCACTTTGAGCTTAAACCGGTGGCCATTTTGAAAAATTAGGGTTTCTTTAAAAATCTAACGTCAAATTCGTTTTTCTCGTGCCAAAATACCTCCAGATACCGAGTTTCAAGCAAATCCATTTGCAAATAGCAGAGGTGCCAATTTTCGGCCATTTTGAACTTTGACCGGCCGCCATTTTGAAACGGTTTGAGATAATGACTTCGGGTTTGCGCGAAAAATTTTCTTTTTTTATGCTCTTTCAAACGAAGTTTCACAAAGGGGGTCTTGCGCGAAAAATTTTCTTTTTTTATGCTCTTTCGAACGAAGTATCACAAAGGGGGTCTTCCCATTTGAAAAAAAAAAAGTTAGGGTCCATAACCCCCCCCCCAAAGGGGCCCCCCCAAAAAAAATTTTGGGGGGTCAAAAAGTAGCTCCCTTTGATTAAGGAACACTCTCCAAGTTTCAAATCTCTACCTCAATTAAGTCAAAAGTTAGAGGGGGGGAGGGGACTTTTCGAACACCCTGTATGACAGAACAGTTATAAATGATTATTACTAGATGGCCACATCCGTCTCCCTCTCAGTCATCTCAAAGGGGCTGATTGAGTAGCAAATAAGCAGTGTCATCCACAGCTAAAAAGACAGATTTCTAAGTGTCTTTAAAAATCCATCACCACCGGAGATGGAGCCTGGGACTTTGGTGTTGGCAGTAAGCTGCCTTGATCACTACACCTTTAAGGTTGATTTTTCATAGATATCTAGTGATTGGCCAAAAAAAGGCCGAACTTCAGCTAAGATATATTCAATTTTACAACTAGATATGATTACGAAATCTTACCATTGAAGAGTCTTATTAGTTTCCCAGTATCTACACTGATATGTTGAATTAATTCAATGTCGCTATAATCTGGGTTTTCTTCATTGCAGGCACTTAATTCTTGCAAACTACAAACGGGTTGAAAACAGCAAATTAGATAATTGGATAAAAATCATCGAGTGCAGAGGGGAAAAATGATATCTTGTGCAAAAAATACAAAATTTTTTAGAATTTTAACCAATAACCCTTCCTTAAGAATAGCTTAAAATGGTCATTGTAAATCTGCAAGTCTCAAAAATACTACACAAGTTGTTGATATAATTTAAATAATCCCTTATTTCTGAGTATTTATTCACACCCTGCTTACGTAGTTCATTGATATAACGTCCACCATAGCAAGGATGAGGTTGTCAACCCTCATGATAAAAATTCAATGGCAAATAATCAGCATGATAGTGGATGTGTCAGACCGCAGTTTTCCTGGTGTTTTAAATACAATAAAAGTTCGATTCACCGGATTCGCAAGGAATCGCCGAGAAATCCGGTAGGTAAATCGAGCGATTCCGTAAAACGGGTAGGACGAAATTTCAAGTCCAGGATATACATATGTATATTGCGGTTTTTTACGAGGTATCGGTCACTGATATTTTTTGTATGGATTTTCCCATACCAGCGAGAACCTCATTTGAGGAGAGTTGATCGGGTTCGGCCCGAGCCATGTAACAGATCAATCACGATCACTTTAGCTTCATTATCCTTTTTTTTAAAATTCAGCTGATGATAGGAGCTGTTCAGCCCCGAAACATCCCGTAGTATGTTTCAAACTTGTTATTTTTAGCCTATGTATATACACGAAATTCATAAGTATTAAATTCTCAATTGAAAATGAAGCCAATAATTCCATAAGTTTCCTAGATATCCTGGTTATAAACCAAGGGAGTAAATTTGTTACGTCATGGTTTACAAAACCTACTTTCTCTGGCAGATACCTGAATTTTTTGTCTGCACAACCGCTTTCTCACAAAATTAATGTGATTAAAAATTTGGCAAGACATGTATGCCTACTTTCTCATCCTGTGCTCTGCAAAGAAAAAATAAGGGAAGCCAAAAAGTTGTTATCTAAAAATTGTTATCCCAGGCATCTTGTCAACTCTATTTTTGGTAATACGGTGAAATATTGTTATAATGGCTTTCCCCCTCCAAAATGTTTCAAAAAAACTGAAATTATTGCTTGTCCGTACATATCCTCCTGCTCCGAAAAGATAAGAGCCGCATTAAAACCACATGGCTACACATTGGTCACTTCTAATAAATCTAATTTACAGAGTTTCCAGTCTTGTTTGAAATCAAAAATTCCCACCAAAAAGCAGTCAGGAGTGGTATATGAGATTCCATGTAGGGATTGTCAGGGCGTTTACATAGGGCAGTCATCCCAATATTTGCACAAAAGGCTTGATGGGCATAAATTTAACCAACATAAAGTGACTGCTCTGAAACAACACATGAGGGAAAAGGGGCATTCATTTGACTTCAGTAGCACCAGGATGTTGAAGAAAGAGAGGAATGAACAGCTTAAGTTGAATTTGGAGGGGTTGTGTATTTTAAAAAACCAAAGTGCTATAAATTCTAGGACTAAGTTTGCTCACTTTGAGGAATAATTTTCTAATCTCTGACAACTTTCTTTGTGTATAAGTACTGCCTCTCTGTAGCAAGGTCTTATTGTTATTGTTAAACTGGTCTCTTGCCGTGACTGGACTTAGTTTCTGTTTTTTTTTCCTCCTTCAGTTATGATTAACTCGTCTGCCCTGAGGATGGAGCGAATTAGTCTCCGAAACGTCGGCTTGTAGAATGTAGTGAAAAATGTTGCACAGTGTAATTAAAATGGTTGAAAACTACTCATGAATTTCTTTTACACACACACACACACACACACACATGTATGTGTGTTGATGTAGGTGTGTGTGTGTGTGTGTGTGTAAGGGTGTGTGTGTGTGTGTGTGTGTGTGTGTATTCCGTTTGTCTTGCAGTAAAAGCTTCAAACTAGGTTGAAATTTCTTTCCTGAGATTATGCATCGTAATTCGCGGAAAAATTTCATGGATTTTTTTCTCTCTGCGTCTCTCTGTCATTTTCTCATTTATTCAACGTATTTTGCCGGATTCATTATCAGCTGATACCACCGACCGGGCGCGATCATGTGCCATCATTGTCATTAGCGCATAATGTAAAAGATCCCAGCACGGCGTCTACGAGTTACCAATCGCGTGACAGCAGCGTGGCATTTTGCGCGCAGTTGGGAAACTTTTCGGGAAAATCGGACTAAAAGTTTCATCACGGGACTGGCAGAAATCCGGTTACCCACACAATAAGGTAAATTGAAGGGATTTTGAATCGTTCTATGGGCGTATCGCGGGTCCGGTAAATCGAACTTTTACTGTATTGTAAACGGCTTAAATCTAAGCTTCAAATGAACAACGAGTGATTTAATGGATTATGATGTAAAAAAATTTGTATTGGAGGAAGAACTGTACAAGAGCAACTATTATAAAAATCATAATTAAAACCAAATCACTTCTAAATTCTTTGAATACATATAGTTTTATACACAGAACATAGAAAACTTACCGCCCAGATATTTTGTTAAAAACAGCATTGAAAAAGTTTGAAGAGAGAGCAAACAGAACTTTGGATGCTAGGACTTTTAAATGATTTGCAGCAGAGTTATCACTTGGTCCATCTACAACATTAAAAGATCGATAACTTTAAAAAGAGCTTCGAGAAATATGCCATCATTAGACACTTAGTTGGCTGTTTCTGTGTAAGATAAAACATTTGATTTGGGCTTAGCCTTTACGTTGATGGAAGGAACATTCTGTGAAAATTTCAAACCATGATGTTGGTTCCGTCTCTTCTGAAAAACAACAAATTAGGAACAGAGATTTTGGTACACTGCAACCAAAATAGGCATTTTTTCAGTTTTACCATTGGTGTATTGCCATGGTTCGTGGAGCCTCAAGATTATAAAATCAAACACTTTGTCATAATATTTTCCTAGGTGCAAAGTTTGCTTTCCGTATTGTGGAACTTGGCTTCATCCACTAATTAACACCTCCGTTGTGTGGGAGGTTTGTTTCCAAAACGCCAAGCGTTTTTCGATGTTTTTGCCCTCTCAATTGACTTTTGACAGCAGATTCCCCCATCATCACAAAAAAGGAATGTCCGCCGCAAAATACACATGCTGTACTTTCATTGTCATCAGACTCAAGAAAGCTAATCTTCATAGTTATTATCGGTCAACCATTAGTCATTGAAGATACAACCACCCGGAATGACATTTATTGACAATCAACCACCAATGTTCCAAGTCAAATTGAGAAAAAATCTATAAAACGAATCTATATATTGACTCCCTGACGATTTTCAATTCTACAAGTAAAAATAGTGAAGTTTCGATATGCTGCACATGTGCAACGATTACCATAATATGGGGTGAATGGGGACAGGCGGGTAAATAGGGACAATTTTGATTTATTTCCGTTTTTTAGTCATAACTCGGTAAGTTTGGCACCTACAGAACTCGTTTTTTTTCGAAAATGCATAGTTTGGCATCCTCTTTAAATAACCGGCGTAATCGGTGTTGTTTAGTGATAGCATAAAATGTCAACATAGCCTCAAAACCAGACCTTGAAAAAAAGCGGTAAAACAAGCGTGATAACGTCCCATACAAGGGGATCACGAATTAAAGAAAAGTTTTTTTTTATGTTATCACATTTTGACATCATAAGTTACCTTGCTCATCACCAAAAATGACGAAAGAGCCGTATGCAAAAACGACATTTTTCGCCCCCCCCCCACTAAAACTTATTCAAACTTCGTCTATCAGTTACTAATACTGGAGCGCTTCTTTCCCCAAATTTTCAGACCCCCAAAAAA